GTAGGAAAGAGATTGAAATGCAGAAGCTGGATAAAGAGAAGCTTGAGAGGAGGGTTAGTGAGTTGGTTGAGAGGTATAAGAGTTTTGACCTAGAAGAATATGCAAGTCTGAAAGAAGCTGCTTCACAGATGCAGGTGAATCTGAGAGAAAAAGATGTAGAACTGGAGAAAATTAAGAAAGCCATGTCTGAGCAGCAGAATCTGGTAGCTGACTTAGAGCAAGACCTTTCTAGGAGCAGAACAGAATTGAGTCAGAGAGAATCGAAAATCAATGAGATTTTGCAAACTGAGGCATCGCTGAGATCTGAAGTTGATAAACAAAGAAAGTTGGCAGTTCTAATGAAGAAAAGGGTTGAAAACTTGTTGAAGGAAAAGGAAAGGGCAGACAGCTTATCAAAGGAAAAAGATGATTTGGCTAGAGAGAATCAAGCTCTCTCCAAACAGTTGGAAGATGCTAAACAATGGAAAAAAACTGCTGATGCTGCAGATGAACAGGCTTTGAAAGATAAAGAAAAGGAGAAAAACACCAGAATCCAGGGGCTTGAGAAGATCACAGACCGTCTTAGAGAAGAGTTGAAACAAGAGAGATCAAAGCGCGTGAAGATGCAAAAGACAATAGGGGATTCCTATGGAACTGTGAATCATCAACGGTCCAAGCTATCAGATGAAATGGACAAGCATAAGCAGGCTCTGAAGATGCTTACCGATGAAGTTGAGAAGATAAGGCAAACCAAAGGCAGTCAAACAGAGGGCACGTCAGTGGATCAACTACTTTCTGGGACTCACTTAGAGGATTTTGCTGCTGCATATCTTCAGGCTGTAGATGACTTTGAACGGGTTGCACGTAATGAGCTCGGGGTTTCTGGTGCTGGTGACACTTCTGCTCCAGATGGTTCTCTTTCTGCCTCTGTTGTTCCAGGCCCAGCAGCTACGCTTCCGCCACCAGCTAGCTTGTTGACTTCCATTCCTGCAGTTGGAAAAGCAGAAGAAGAAAGAAGACTTGTTTTATCGAAGATAACCTCCGAAACTCGTAAAACCGGAAGGAAGTTGGTTCGACCTCGCATCACAAAGCCAGAGGAACCTTTAGTTGATGTAGAGATGCAAGATACAGATGAATCCACCAACAGTAGGAAACATTTGCCACCTCAAAATGCAGAAAATCTAGATAATGCCACATTATCAACTCAACCACCAATTCGCAAGCGCCTATCTGCAGCCTCTACCTCAGAGTTACAAGAAGAGACTCCTGCCATGGATGAAACCTGCTTAGATGTGGCTCAACCTGTGCTTAAGAAGTCCAAACATCTAGAGGCACCTCAAGAAGGTGGTGAAGATAAATCTGCTGGTAATGTAGAAAATTCAGAATCTCTGCCTACTACGGAGGAACATGATGCTGGAGATGAAACCCAATGTTTGAAAGAGGAAGCCAGTGATATTGAGAAGGATGAGACTACACTTTCTGGTGAGCAGGTTGAAGAGCCGTCAGTTGTTGCAACAAATCAGGCTGAGTCACAGGTTGATAGAACAGATATTGCAGATGATACTTTTGTCGGTTCTAATGAAGTGTCTACCCCAGATAATGAATCAACATTTCTGGTGCAACAAGAGAGTGAGCAGCTAGCGATGGATGAAAGGGAAGAGGGAGAGCTAATTGCTGATCCTGAAGATGTTGGAAATCTTGATAGCATTTTATCAATGGGGAGCCCAGAAAATTTGGAACCTCAGACTGATGACTTAGCTGGTACTGATGAAGACCTCTTGCTTACTCCAACAGACCCCGGGGAGATGGAATCTTCTCAGCTCCCAGATGATGATAAGAATGATGAAGTTGATGCGACAGAAGAGCTAGCTGAAAGTTCTGATAAGTTGAATGATGGTGGTGACCAGGTTGCTGCAGAAACTGATCAGGCTGTGGATACTGTTACTGGTGTGAAACCATCAAGCAGTCCAGTTGATAGTAGCAATTCAAAAGAAGGGGGTCCGGGTGAAAGTGCTGCTGCTGAAACAGAAGAAGGGAAACAGGTCTCACCTGTCAATAGGAGCTCAAGAACTATAAACTTAAATGAGAGGGCTAGAGAAAGGGCTTCTATTAGGCAGGCTGCTATGCTTTCTTCTACACCGACAAGAGGCCGTGGGCGAGTTCTTCGAGGTCGCGGTGGGCGCAGTGGTCGTGGTGGTCGCGGTCCAATCTCTGGTTCACAGGGTTAATCATTTTCACTATCACCTTCCATTCATGTAAGTTATAACATATAGAATAGGCATTTTATAGATTAGTTTCATGCCATCTCACTTATTAAAAAAAATCAATTTCCTGCAACACAGGTTGTGCTTTTATAAGCAAAACTTTAAATCACATGCTTCAAAATCGAATGGATTTTTAATGCTATTGTGTGAGTTCTATGAATTTTTTTTGACTTGCGTATGTTAGGTTCTACCTTCTCGGTATCCTTTTGCCAAAATATGAGTATGTGAGATCATTATTCTAGACCAATCCAAATTTTACAGTTATACAATTTCTCACTTAGTTGAAAAGAGGAAAATGACTACAGAAGATGAGATGGTACTATTCCCAATTTATTGAATCAAGATGGTGAGGAATGAAGACTTAGGAACAACCTTTTTTGTCTTGCTTGGAATTCTGCCGAATTTTCAGGAGTGATAATTTCATTTTACTTGGCTCTTGTAAAATTTTAGAGCTACTTAACTTGTCCCTATACAACAAGTACTGTCATGAGCTCATTACGATAATTCCTGCATTCTTCATGTGGCAATTCTAGCCCCTAATTTTGTGACCTGGGAACCTGCTCAAGATTCAGCTGGTTGTGGGGGGTGACTAAATAGATGGATGGGAACTGTACTCTTTTGGCAAGATGTCTACAATTTCATTGCATTGATCTAAGATCCCCCCCCCCCTCTCTCTTCCTAAAGGAACTTACTATCTGTGATTTTAGAGGTGAATGGTGATACCTTTAATTTCTGTTTTGGGTTTTATTTTCGCTTTCTAGTTTCTTGGCTTTCAGTTTTTCCTTTCTCCTTTCCTCTCCGCTGAAACAGATGGGGGTTTCTATTATTTCATTAAAAGAAAATTAGATGGGGGTTTCTATTTCCTTTCATCAACCTACGATTCTCATGAATTCACTTGGATGCACGATTTGTAATCAATACACTTTTTTTGTTGTTGCAGCATTTGAATCAATTTAGTAATATATATATTTTAGTTTGATCAGTTAGTGATTAATTTATAAGAAGCATGTTTATGTTCTTGTAATATTTTTATTCTAAAATTGCTGAATACTCTCTTTGCCCTGCTACTTCTATTAGTGCAGACTTGTACTTGTGTGATGACTGGTAATAAAGATTTCTGAATATTGTGCTATCTAAACTTGTTTCGAACCCTTTTGCAATGCATAGGTTATCTTCTGATATTAATTCATCTTGGAGACTCTTCATGCTAGTGCTCGGTGTTGTCACTACATTCATCTTCCAATGTAATGGTAGGGATAGCTGAGTTCCATCTTTTACTTAAGTAAAACTATTGAAACATTGCTGCCTTTAATTTGATTTTACTTTAATTTGAAATGTTCTTGCTTCCTTTGCAGTGTTATAGGGTAAAAAAGAGTTGACTGTTGTCGAAGGAAATCCATTATGAAGTTTTGACAAGTTTCTTTGAATTTCTTCTGGTTGGAAACTCAAGCTTCAATGACGTTCTAGCTTTTGTGATGAAACTCAACCTTGATGATGATGTTCTTGCTTTTCTGATGACCTTCTTTCTGTTTGGAGAAGATGTTGTCCATGTTTAATGGACTGTTTGGCTGTCCTTGCAAGTTTTGTGGCCATCTATAGCACCCTATGCCATGGTCAGGGTGCTTGCCCTTCTGTAATTAGTCTTTTACTACCTCTGGCTAAAGTTGATGCTGTTTTCTATACCTTGCTATATTCTGCGAATATGAAACAGATTTTACATTTATAAGGTTCAAACTTATACTAATCCTCAATCCCAAACAGGTTTACGATTGGCTCTATACGTTCTCAATCCCAAGCTAGTGGAGTGTATGGTACTTGTGTTTCACAATTTTTTCATAACCTGACAGTGTCAGATTAACCATTCTTGTTTTATTTTTAATTCCTGTTACAAGGAACTGCTTCAATTTAAAAATATCGATTTAGCTTTACTTCAGTTTTTACCATGAATAGAATTAGTCATGGTTGAAGCTGGTGAAGTGGTTCTGAGGCTGCTCAGCCTTGTGCCAAATGGTTTAATGAGTACACTTTCCATCCATAGATACAGTTTGTGGACACTCCTCCCAGTGAGTTGAGTCCTAAATTGGTCTGTTATTTACGGCCTACTTGGGTACCATGAGATTTAATTAAACCTTGGGAGTGGGAGGTTCTTTGGTAGGAAATGTTTTACCTGTCCCTTAGTAAGTCAAATGCCAATCGGACAAATATGAGTTGGTCAAAATAGTACTCTCTACGTTCATGTTACTTGTAAGGTTTAGCTTTACGAGTGTCTAATCTCTAGAGCTAAACTGAGCTATAGATTAATTCAGTAATTTAAATTTCAAATTTAGATGTTTGAAAATTATACAAAAAAAAAAAAAACTATCTAAAAAACTCATAAACATGTCATTAAAATCACTTTTATTACTGGATACTAAAAATTGCAAGAGCCACAAAGTCCGCTGGTAGAGTTATCACACTGGAAAAGTGATTCCAGAGAACCAACCTGTATGCATTGTGAAGCCAGTGCTGACAACTCAAACATGAAAATTGTTACTTTGCAGTTGGGTATTGTAATAGTAACTAACATTAACAACTCAGCTGAATATTGAAAGAAGAAATTACAAGGAAGTCAAGAAATCCATTTTTTTTTTAATCATTTAGATGAATAAAATATTATGATTCTTAAGAAACAAACGAAGACGGGTATCCTATTGAGTTGTTATGTTGACAACTCAATTCATACGAATATCACAAGGACATACCCAATTCTTCAGAATATGAACCATAAAAGAAAATACCTAATATGATCAATATGTTGATATCGATAGACTATGACTATAAGAATAACAGATTGGCCAAATGATTTACATTGCTTCTCAATGCAGGCTGCTACTGGAGAGAAGCATGTGACAAAGATGACACTACCCCCAGTACACCATAGATAGGCATAAACAAAAGGTGGCATCTTGTGGTAAATTCGGATGTTTTCTTAACATCCCAGCCCTCCCAAGAAATTCAAATCAAGTTCTGCAATAGTGAGAACAATTTTTGACAAAGTGAAATTGGCAGGCTATCTTGAAGCAGGATCTCTGTATCTCTTGAAAATGTCTTCAATATCATCCATTACTTGAGGTGGCAAAGGTCTCTCAGTTGTCAAAAAAGCATCAATATCTTCTTTTAATTGATCCACCGAAGTTGCGCCTATAATTGAACTTGTCATAAAGGGACGGTCTCGGGCAAATCCTAGGGCTAACTCAACTAGAGTTAGACCATGCTTCTTGGCCACTTCTTCATACTTTTTAGTTGCTTCCTGGAAATTAAAAATGACAACACACCAAAAACACATCCTAGCAATCATTAAAACTTGCAGCATGGTATAAGCTTCTCACATTGTACATGTCTAAAGTCGCGCACGACTACTAAAGTAGAAATACATTTTCACATTGTAACGTTAAAGATGAGCAACAATTCTCTGTTTATTCTTCAACCTTCTTCTACTGTGTGATCCTGAGAGGTGGAGCCATGATTTGAGGTTTGTGGATTCTGAATTTTATTGAGGTGGGTTCTGAATTTTAAGACAGGATAACAACCTCAAGCTAATAAATAATGACCGTCAAACTAATGAATGAGTACCGATACTCTATATATATTTTGAAAAGCAATGAACCACTTACACACTATATAAGTATAAATATTATTATTAAATTGCACTCAAAATGTGCTTTTTGCTTTTTCTAATTGTCAAATTTTCATGCAAATAAGTAGTTCTAACCTTAATCAGGTTTTGTGTGCAGATATGTAGTTCTCGTTTTTAAGTAGCGAGCTGAATTTAATCCATGACAAATTGTACCCAAAGCTTATCATTTGGACACTGTCTAGGAAATATAGCAATAACAAAGTAATGCACACAACACAATGGACAAAACGGCACAGGATTAATTTATCGAACTGGGTGCAACTGCAGCCAAAAAAAAAATGCAGGGGCCAAAAGACAAAATCTTAGGATTTTTCTTTTCAAATTTATTGAAAAATTTCAAGGTTGTCAACTTCTATTTTTCAATGATTTTCTTTTGGTTTGGGGTAGGGGGAGGAGGATACTGATTGTGGCATGGTGTCCCCTAAGTTACGCCTTCCAGACTCCAGTCGATCCCAAAACTATGTATTTCCCCCTTGGCAAACTTACACTTGAAAGTTTAATTTTTTTGCCAACTTATAAAGCTACTCAAACAATCAATTAACTTTCCTTTCTTGTAAAACTTGAAAAACACGTACCTTGGCAAGGGATTTATTGTATCTTTCCATGTAGCCTGGGAACAGGTTAAGTCTTCCTTTTTTAGCAGCTTCAGAATTATTGTCCAAATACTTCCCCGATAAGGTCCCACCAGCCAGTGGAGAATAGGAAAGTAAGCCAATGTTACAGTTGTTTGGGTGGCATACTTCAACAAGATCAACTACAAAGAACAACCAAAAACTCGTTATGCTAAGCGGAAAATTAAAAATGTTGATGCTTGATGTAAATACAATTATTTTCTTTCTATCAAAAACAGCAGCTATGACCCACTCCTACGGAACATGTATTGCTGCATTTGATTGTTTACTAGGTTGTTTCATCAGTATAGGTTAATTTTACTAGGTTATTTTTCAGTTGTTTTTACCACTAGTAGGTTATTTATCACTTAAACCGTAAGGTCCCTTAACAACATTATCCAAGTACAAGAAAGGCCCAAAATTTATAACATGCCAATGTGAAACAAAAAAAGAGTTCTTGTCAAAAGATAACAAATGTGACTTTGGACTTTATAGTGTCAAATGTGATCATCCGCAAGAAACAGCTCATACAAATTGAGATAGTCAGATTGCGTCTATGATTAGCTACCATGGCAAGCAAAGTTTCCTGTATCTTAAAGATTAGCAGCGCTGCTGTTAGGCAGATTGCGTCTACGATGAGCATTGACAGCAGCCTTTAAGGATGTAATGGACTTATCCAGTGGATAATCACATTCCTTAGAGAAATGACCTCACCAATGTTGATCCAATTATACAATTTGGGTATTTACATATGTGCAAAAGTGGCTTAAGACAGATTAGAGAACAGATAACATGTGATTAGAAGGAGATCACAATCAGTTCACCAACATTCAAAAGAACCTTTAGAAAGTGGTTTTCTATTCTTTTATGAGGTACAGGCAGATTATTCTGCAGAGGTAGGATGGATGATATCAGTATTTTTGTGAATGCGAAAATGACCACTCATAAAGGAGTAGTATAAGGGACAGCTGTAAAGGGAATGGGGAAAACTGGATTCTAATAGTCTAAGAGCTAAGCAAATAGGATTCAATGATGTAACTAACTAGATATAAAAATACTAAAATATCGATTTGTAAGCGAGCTGTTAAAGACCTCAACACTTGATCAGAAACCAATTGGCAAAGAGTAGAAGGAGTGTCATAGGCTTATTGCTTAAGCAGCTTGCACTCTTTACTTAATCATCACAGGAGTTCTTCATTTTCATTTTTTGCACACCTCCAATCTGCTACTTATGATTAAAAGCAAAGCCTCTAGACAAATGAATTGACCCCATGAAGCATCTATGTGGATACCTCAAATGGATGCGTAGCACACAGACATGTTGTGTTAAGAGTCCCACAATAGTTGAGGGTTTTGCGTAGTCTTTTTTCACGATTTGGACAATCCTCACCTCACGAGCTAGATATTGCGGTTGATTTAGACGCAGGGTCCATTTACCTATCCGTGATCTTGGTTTACCAAATGTTGGGCAACAATGTTCATATTATACATACTCCAAATATTTAGTTCTAAGAAAACAGGGAAGGGTATACAGAAGCCCATATTGGTTGAGGGTAAGGATTATAGTCTCTATATGTGATTTTGGATAATCCTTACCTCATGAGCTAGATTATGGGATCTATTTAGGCCCTGGGTCAATTTTTCTTAACAGGCTGAATGATAACAAAACCTCAAATTGACACCATGTTGAAAAAATTGATATTCCGACTTCAACTAATTGACTATGGTTGGAGTACCGAGTACCTCGGCATCTTCATTAAGCATCTTGGAGTTCTTCTCATCTAATGGATGTCAGACCTCCTTTTACTCTTAAAAAAAAAAACTATTACTCAACCTGTAAGAGCGCCAAAGTATGAACAGAAAAACTGACAAAAGTGCTGCAAAAATCAAAATATACGTTTAAGCTACATTTCTCGTTGAGAGGAGTTTCACAGCTAAACTACTTTAGTAGGACATTAGAAAGGACAACTTACCCTCAAAGTGGCACCTAACCAGCAGACTGTAACTATTCTGAATGCTGACAATCTTCGGCAATCCTTCAACTTTTGCAGCATGAACAAACTCCATTACTCCATATGAAGTTTCATTGGAAACACCAATGTAGCGCACCTGAATAAATTAGTAATGCTTAATTGTTACTTTCAGATAACTAGATCCCAAAGTTAACTGTCTATAAAGTAAATCAATTTTTGAGATTTACAAAGCAAAATGAAATCTCAAATTATTTTGCAAAATGTGCACACCAAACCATGATAAAAGATCAGGTGTGATTATTCATAACAAGCATGAATAATGTGTAAACGAAACCATGCATAAAAATCAGGTTTGCTTATTCGCTATAAGCATTGCAAAATGTGTAACTAAAACTAAACCATGCGTCAGAGACCTGACGTGCTTATTCATTAACATTTTCCGTTTACCAGTTCAGTTTCCTTGCAAGCATATAGGAGCGATCATGATGTAACACAGTACGGTTTTGAAAACTTCAGATTTGGTAATTTTGATTTTTAAAAATGATCTACCATTACCATACCAATGTTTTTTTTATATGGTTCCATATTCGGTTTGTGCGGTATGGTAAATCGTAACCACAGTTTGTTCTCTTCGACTTACATACAAGGGAAAATTATGACTTTTACAATGGTGGAAACTCTGTCATGCTCGAACAACAACAACATACCCTGTGTAATCCCACAAGTGGGGTTTGGGGAGGGTAGTGTGTACACAGACCTTACCCCTACCTTAAAAAGGAACAGAGGTGGTTTCCGATAGTCCCTCACACAAAACAAATGAAAAAAATGACAACAACAAGAAACAGGAAGAACAACAAGAAAATACAGTAATCAAGGCTAAGAATCAACCAATGGAAATAGAAATAGAAATCTAAGAATACAAAAATACAAGACTAATTCTAATTCTTTGGGAATGGGACAGCAAAGCACTCAACTTCCGACTAACCTTCTATCCTACTCCTCGACCTCCACATCGTTCTATCAAGGGTCATATCCTTGGTGAGCTGTAGCTGCGCCATGTCCTACCTAATCACCTCACCCCAATACTTCTTAGGCCTACTTATACTCCTACTCAAGCCCTTAAAGACCAACCTTCTCGCACCTCCTTACCATGGCATCCGCACATCTCCTCTTCACATGTCCGAACCATCTCAAGTTCAAATCTCGTACCTTATTCTCTATGGGGTCACTCATGCCCAGTGTTGTGAAAAGCGACAAAAAGCGCACTTAAAGCGTGAAGCGAGGTGAGGCGCAAGCACTGCACTTTTATGCTCTGAAGCGAGGCGTTGCTGAAAAAGCGAGCGCTTCAGTAGGTGAAGCGAGAAGCTCGCTTAAAGCAAAGGTGACAAAATGCGCGCTTAAGCGCTGTTAGTTTTTTTTTTTTTTTAACTTCTGTATAACACACCTGTCTGATGCGACTCAAACATTTCCCTCTTCTTCTTCTTCTGTGACTCAAACATCTCAACGACTGTTGTTGTGACTCAAACAATAAGTTCTTCCTCTCTTTTCTTCTTCTACTTCTTCTCTGGACTCTCTTTCAGGCTTTCAGCGACTGCTTCTAGGGGTTTCTTTCCCCTGTTATGCTCTGATTTTTTTACTGATTTGGTTTTGCTGTTTGCAATTGCTTAATATGATTATGAGGATTATTGACTATCTTTTATTTACTTTTTAATTAAAGAATTATAAGATTTGCTTAATATGTTATTTCTATTGTGCTCTTGGTTATTTATATATGCATATTTAATATTTTTTATTTTTGTACTAAATAACACTTTAGTAGAAAAAAGTGTGCGCTTCGCTTCACGCTTTGGTGAAGCAAGCCCTCGCCGCTTTTTTCCACTTCTAGCATTCCAAAACACTGCTCCCGCCTCGGCACGAATAACTTCATTCCTAATCTTATTCCTCCTAGTATGGACAACCAACACACTACCCCATATAACATAGTCGGTTTAACTACCACTTTGTAGAACTTACCTTTAATTATTGGCGGCACACTCTTATCACACAGAACATTGGATACAAGCATCCATTTCATCCATCTCGGCTCAATACAATGCGTGACATGCTCTTCAATCTCCCCATTACCTTCGATAACTGACCTTAGGTACTTGAAACTTGCTCTCTTGGGGTTGTTAGAATAGGAATAGGTTTATACAATCCTATTAGAATAGGAATAGGAATAAAAATAGAAATAGGAATACTTAATAGTATCCTACTTGGTAAAGGATTGTATTCCAGGGTCTATACATAGGGTCTCAATGTAATAATGTAGACACAACAACAATTCAATAATATTCTTCCCCTATATTTCTCACATGGTATCAGAGCCTCTACAATCTTGGTAAACAATCAAAGAGCTTTCACTGCCGGTGGGCGGCTATTATCCATATATGCCACCCGTCCGGCCAATGATTATGTTAGCAAAAGTTGGGTCACCGTGTATTTTGCTGGTGACTATTTTCTCATATCTAATTTGTGTAGCACCGTGCCATCTTTCTGGTGACTACTTTCTTATATCTAATTTGTGTAGCACCGTGCCATCATTCCGGTGACTATTTTTTCATATTTAATTTGTGTAGCACCGTGCGATCTTTCCGGTGATTTTTTTTTTCCATATTTGGTTTGTGTAGCACTGTGCCATCATTCAGTGACTACTTTTTCATATATAATTTGTATAGCACCGTGCCATCCTTCTGGTGACTACCTTTTTTTGCATATCTGATTTGCGTAGCACCGTGCATCTCTTTGGACTACTTTTCATATTTAATTTGTGTAGTACTGTAGATTTTTCCGAACTATTTTCTCATATCTGAGTTGCATAGCATCATGTGTCTTTTTCAGTGACTCCTCAAATTTGATTTGCATAGTTCCATACGTATTTCCAGTGACTCCTCAAATCTGATTTGCGTAGGGTTGTGCCATCATTCCAACCCTACCTGTATAATTTTTCTTTTCAGTAGGGGTCGTGCCATCATTCCGATCCTACCCATATTATTTCTCTTTTTCAATGGGGTCGTTCCATCAATTCGAACTATCCTATATAATTTCTATTTTCTAGTTGGGTCGTGACATCATTCCGACCCTACCTATATAATTTTATTTCTTAGATTGTGACCACTTTTAGCCATCAAATCTAATACTCTGGCATATGAGCATGTTCCGACCATTTTTTCGGTGACTTGTTTAATATCGACTCATCTATTGATTCCAACATGATCCACATACTTTATACTAGATTTTGAGCACTTTGTTGCTCGGGAGGAGTTTAGTAGCCTTGTATGTTGATTACGTAAGTCACTCTATGGTCTGAAACAGTCTTTGCAAGCTTGGTTTGGGAAAGTTCCAACACTGTAATTTTATCACTCGGTGTTTTATCGGCATTATGCATCAAATTCAGTATTTCATAAGAAGACCTTACATTGAGATTGATTGTCAATTTTGTGAAGTCGAGTGATCAATTTGCAGATATCTCACCATGCCCCTCATCAGTCCTCGTGTTAATTACATTTGTAACAAGGCTTGAGGGGGAGTGTTAGAATAGGAATAGATTTATACAATCTTATTAGATTAGGAATAGGAATAAAACTAGAAATAGGAATGCTTAATAGTATCCTACTTGGTAAAGGATTGTATTCCAGGGTCTATACATATGGTCTCAATGTAATAATGTAGACACAACAACAATTCAATAATATTCTTCCCCTATATTTCTCACAGGAGTGATCCGAGTGTCAAGAGTCACATCCACATCCACTTCATGAGACACATCATTGAACTTACTCTCCAAGTATTCAGTTTTTGTCCTACTCAACTTGAAACCTTTTGACTCCAAGGTCTGTCTGCAAACTTCCAGCCTCGCGTTAATGCCGCTTCGCGTCATATCATCCACAACATGCACCATGCCACCTCCTCTTGAATGTGTCGCCTCAGAACACCCATCGCCAAAGCAAATAAAGATGGGCTAAGAACAGATCCGTGATACAACCCCATTATGACTAGGAAGTGTTCCGAGTTACCTCCATAGTCCTGACCCAGCTCTTAGCAGTTAGCACCATCATACATATCCTTAATCACCCTAGTGTATACTACAAATACACCTTTAGCCTCCAAGCATCCCCATAGAATCTCCCTAGGGACTTTGTTGTTTCTTATGCTTGAAATGAAGGAAAATTGTCTAGTGTTGGCTGGCAATGAACAAATGTCGTGTAATTTGTATTGTTATTATTTGTAATTAATTATTTAGTTCATCTTTAGTAGTAAATGGAAGAAGCTTTTAGTCCGAAGGATTTTAGACCTTTTATTAGTTTATATTTAGATTAATTAAATTATAATCTATATAATAATATACAGGGATTGTATATGTAATTAAGTATTTTGGTATATTCGGTATTTCAATATTTTTTCTATAAAAACTGAATACCACATTTCTAGAAATGCATAACAACAAATGCCATAATACCGAAACCGAAGCGCCAAAAAATTTGGTTTCGGTACGATGATTTGGTATTTACCAAAGTATGCACACCCCTACAAACATATACCTTAAGTTTCTCACTTGGAAATATATTTTATATTATCATCTGGCAAGTATATTTAACAACTAAATGTGAAAATGCACTACAATATTTTTTGGTTATAAAAGAACAAACAAACAACACGATAACTAAACTTTAATGTTCCACTTCAACGCAAATGATTTGAAGCCCTCTATTTACACATAAAAATTGTACTTCACATGTACAAGTAAACACGAGTTGCAATTCTGCTTGTCAACAAACCTAATAATTTTTGTGACTATTTTCAATTTAGAACTCCTTTTATTTAGGTGTTATTTGAAATCTTCTATCATTAGTCAATCCGCTGCTATAGATGCATCATAAATCTTCATTTACAGTTGAAACCACAAATCCAGGAAAAAATGAAAGATATCCTAAGACTTTAATTAGTAAAATTATAACTATAAAGCATCTTACTTAATTCATTTCACTGACAGATCTGCAGTAATATTATTGCAATTGTTACTGACTGCAAAAAAAGCAAAACATACCTTTCCTTCATCGATGAGTTCCTGAAAGGCTCTAAGCTGCTCAACGAAAGGCACACTTGGCCTCCATTTTGAAGTTTCATAAAAGAATTCGCCGAACAATGGAACATATCTGTCTGGCCTGAGAAGTTTTACATCAGATTACAGAAATGAGATAACCACCTCTTTACATATTTCACATGTGTTTGTGTGTATGTATCTCTATGTGTCTCTGTATTGACACATATGATATACACAACAAGAAAACAAGAGAGAGATAAAACAAATTCAGACAACGTACAATTTTACAATTCTGTCAGACACAAGCAAGATAAAAAAAACCCAATTTTTTTTGTCAAGTGTCTTGAAGCATGCAGGTTAGCTGGTAAGATCTCTTAACGAAGAATAATTTATCAGTTTGTCAAGAAAGACATGTAAAAATTGATCAACTTAAACAAGTAATTTAGGCCGGTGGCTTCAATATCAGTTTGGCTTTCCAAATGTGTTTCCAAGGCCATTGAAGTATCTGCTGGTTTGGTTGGTTCATCTTCCTGTAGGCTGCATTTACTTTAAACGTCCCGTTACTATATCCCTGCCACTGTAGGATGTCTTGTCCAGCCTTCAAACCACTGAATTGGTCGATGGTGCTGAAGAATTTTGTTACTCTTGGTATTTCCCAATCATTGAGGTGTCTCCTGAACACAAAATTCCACCCTTGAGGTGTCCACAATTCTGCTATTGTGATGTAAAACTATGAGGTGTCCACAATTCTGCTATTGTGCTCTGTTGATGCAAAATTAAGTTATAAATATCTAGGAGTAATGTCTCCATGTTGCCTGCTTCATGCCAATCATCCTTCCAGAAGACAGTTTTAACTCCATCTGCCACTTTGACTATGGTATTAACTTTGAATTCATTCCACAAAATTCTGATAGATTTCCATAAGCTAACACCATAAGGAGTAGTGACCTCCTTTGTCATCCAATTATCGTTCTCCTCATATTTAGCTTTAATGACTCTAACCCATAGACTTCGATTTTCGTTTGAATATTTCCATAGCCATCTCATTCTAAAAGCTTTACTCTGATTCTTCAGATTTTTGATCCCCAATCCCCCAACACTTTTACTATTGTTTTAACTTTGAATTCATTCCACAAAATTCTGCTAGATTTCCATAAGCTAACACCATAAGGAGTAGTGACCTCCTTTGTCATCCAATTATCGTTCTCCTCATATTTAGCTTTAATGACTCTAACGCATAGACTTCAATTTTCATTTGAATATTTCCATAGCCATCCCATCCTTAAAGCTTTACTCTGATTCTTCAGATTTTTGATCCCCAATCCCCCAACAGAAAATAATGATTTTAAACTAGTCAATTATGTCCATCACTTTAGCACACATCACAAATAGTCAAAAATAGCACTGTAATGAGCTGAGGTAGCTCTCAGTCAGATAGTTAAGTGTAGCATAAAAAGTTGATGTGATATATCTCACATCGGGTAAATATAGTTATGTATATTGTAAAGTAGCCTATAGAATGGTTGAGGGGTAAGCCATTAGTTTTCACGCATTCTCCCAATCTCGTTTCATTGTGATGTTTATTTCTAACATGTTAATGGACTTTAAGCGAGAAATTAGTCCTACTACCTCACTGTGTATTCACAAGTGACATTTGGAAGAAAAAACATTCTCTATGCACAATTTCAACAATCATAGAATCTGCTGGATGTGAGGTTGGTCTGTGCGTATTGTGCATAAACCAAAACCAGGACAAGGCTGAAATCCTCGTGTGAATTGGGCTTGTACCATTCACAGTCCAGTTCCAGATTTTATAGGTGATCGGAAACTTGATCCTTCAACTTATCAAGCAACTTTTAGATTTTCTTTTCCTCCAGCAACTTTCAGTCTCTTTTAAGGACACTTGGGGTCTCACATAAAACCTGCAATCCTCCAGGCTGTTCCAGGGTGTTTGTGGTTCTTTTCTGGTCGAATGATTAGACTTTAGGACAATGCGGTATTTGGAGGACTGTTCCCAATTTGTAAGAAGCTCAATTATAGCTCCTGGTTTACTCTTCATTACTATTCTATCAGATCGTGCAGCCCTTCCCCTAATATTTGGTAGTCCTTCAATTATCTCATATAGATTTAACTACCTCGGTTTTCAGAGATACCTACAACATGTTCTATTGACAGTTCTCCTAAGATAGTCCAAGGAGGTTGACATCTTAGTTTTTCTAAACTTCAGAAAATAGTGTCTGAATGTTCTCACTTGTGTATCTCAGAATATAAGTCGTGTCAATTTTGTATGGATACCCTCTCTTTTTTTTCTTTTTCTTTTTGATGACCGTGATGTCCGGACTAGCTTTCGTGCACCTCGACTAATTCGACGGGATACCTGCCATCTCCCACGGGCAACAGGCACTAGTTAACTGTGTCCACCAAGGCTAGAACAAATGGGAAGAATCAACTAGTGTTTTTTCTGTCTCCACTGATTTGAACCTAAGACCTTACGGTTCTCAACCACTTCATTGACCACCAGGCCACAGTCCACACCCTTGGGTGCGATACCCTTTTTTCTTAGGATGTCATCTTGGTAATGGGGTAAATCCTCCCTTCTCTTTAGTCCATTCAGATTTTAGGAATCCTGATCGAACTAGTTCTACTTTGAGTTCCTATTATTAGGTTGTCAAAGATGATTATTCAATGTGTAGTTGATCTTCTTAATCTGAGTTGTTTTCCCTTTTTTGGATCTTTGTATTAATACAAATTCAACTAGGTATCTATTGTGTCAAATACCAGATGCTCTTCCTCTGTTACAGACTTGTCAACGCTACATATAGTCTTCCAGGGGCTGCTTGGAGAGGTCTTTGCTATACTCAAAATTACCTCAATTTTATATTTTTAAGTTACCATCAACTTGCTATCATCCTTTTCTTTTGTTTCTACCTCAATAATACAAGTGAAACTCTCTCTCATTTAGGATGCCAACAAGTTGTGATTAAGTTGTACAATGTATACTCTTAGGTACCCTTGGAAACTTCTCCCCTACCTCCAAGTAAATCTACTATTACTTGTTGGGTTTACACAGTCAAGGTTGGTACAGATGATAACATACAAGACGCAACGAGGATGACGTATAGATGGGGAAGCAACTAGGTTACTTGGCTCTCAGTAGTCCAGTGGTCTTGCATGCAAGGTGCTGATATGGTTTGAAACAATCTACTCGAGTATAGTTTGACAAGTTCAATGGCTATTAAGAAGTTTGAAATGACTTATAGTGATAAAGATACTTGGTAGTTTATACTAATGACATAGTTATCTCAGAAAGTGATCAATAGGGGATTAGCAAAGTAAACTTCATCTCGTTAAGCCTTTTCAGACCAAGGATCTAGGTAGATTGCTATACTTTTCTAGGATGATGAGTTCATCTAGTTTACATCAGACATTGTCATCTCTATGTGGAAGTATACTTATCCACACTTAAAAGGAAGACAGGTATGGAAGATAGTACACTTGTTGACAGTCCTATGGGTCCATAATTTAAGCTTGTACAGTGATCCCAGGAGACATAGGAGGTTGCTAGGCAAGTTGAACTTTTTTTTCTTTTGAGAGAGGTAACAATGTAAAATTATCTTTAGCACAAAGGTTGGCACTAATAGCCAGGTAAGTTGAACTATCTCATAATAACTCAACATGAATATGATATTGCCTTTTCAGTGAGTGTTACAAGTCAATGTTTGGCTCTCCACTTGATACTTATTGTGATGTATTGGTCTACAACCTTTGGTAGATAAAATTGGCTACAAGGAAAATTACAAAAGGAATGAGGACATGAACAGATTGTTGAGTATGCAGATTACGAGTAAATAGGTCACCTTCTAATAAATGCTCTACTTATCAGATATTAAGTTCTGTTCCAATTGGAGGTAAATACACGTCTTCGAAGAGCAAGAAACAAAAAATTGTAAGATCCAGAAAAAGCAAAATAGCAGGCCATGACAGTGATAACTTGCAAGCTACCTAAGACTTTCACTTGGCCAAGGAAGTAGTTTCTCCATTTTTCTTATTATTCGAACTAGCTCATCTTACCCTCTTACTTTCACTCATCCCTAGATTCTCTAATGCAACTAGCTCATCTCGGCGTCTGACATTCACTTAGCCCTAGAGTTTCTATGTCAATGTTGCCCTAAATTCTAAAACAATCCACTCAAATGCTCCTCAAGTGAACTTCCGTTATAAGTACTTCATTTTCTCCTAGGATCCTTCCCATGTGTAAAACAATAGCAGTTCATTCAGCCTGCTCTCAGAGTCTCATATTCTCTGATTACTGCCCTACAGCTCTAGCTCTTTCTCTATTGTTGCTTTGCACCTACACATTTCAATCGCCTCTTTTACTCCAACATATGCTGCAGTTACAGTAGAGGCTCACATCAACAGCTTCCTAAACTGAGAATCTCTCTAGCATCTTAGCTGTCAATCCCAAATGGGAAAACTAAAACAAAAAAAAAGAAAAATAATTGAAGAACCAGAACAAAAGTTAATTCGTTGCTATGATACCTAAGCTCAAAGCATAGGTAATATCTAGTCATCTAGAATCCAGGAAGAATGAGAAATCTCCTATGGTCACTAAAAGTTCAAGTTATAGTGTTTTAACTACCCAGATAACGTGGAACAGCCCCACTTGATGAAAATGGTGTCATCTAGAAACTGGGGAAGTTGAATAACATGATGTATACTACTTATCAAATTGCACTTTTAGAATCCTTCAATGATATCATCGAAAAAGACTCACCAATGTATTTGGAGTAAATCAATGTAATCAGTATTAAGACGTTTCAAACTTTTTTCTACACTTTCTCGAATATTTGCGGCATCTACTCGCAAAACCTTCGCATTTTCACGTATGTAACTTGATCTTTCTGAATAACCACAAACTTTTGTAGCCAGAATCACCTGAAGGAAAAAACAACATCACATTAGTAGATATCAGTGCACACCTACAGGAGTAAAAAAGTAATCTTGAGTTAAAAAGACACCAAACATTATGGCTATAATGGCAATGCAGGAAAAGAGAGGTTTGCCTACTTAAAGAATGGTTTTGGTAGTTAATTTACAATGAATTGTAACATTTGGCATCACGGCCATGCTAATAATCTTAATTATTATGGACCAAGAGAGTTGGTAAGAAATCTAAATCGACTGCAAAAGTACTCCTTCATGCCGTTTGTGGACTACTGGGAGGACATTTGAAAGGTGAGATCCAGCATGAACACTACAAAGTATTTGTAACCTCAAGTTCTTAACAATCTAAGCTGTTCTAAGTTTAACTCACTAATGCTTGAGATTAGGCTCTATTAACTAATAAAGCTGGTCTCTAATCTGTTCTTTCCTGCTTGCATAATAATTTGTCTAGTAACATAATTCTTGTTCTTACTCATAAAAGAAAAAAAAATTATATTTGGAGAATACATGGGCATAAATTAGAAGCAATCAACAAAAACAGAACTACACAAGCTTTATATTCTCAATAGTTATATACATATCGCTATTACATCTTACATTCTTTTAAAAAAAAAGTTGTATACCTATGCCTACAGAAATGACTGCTTTTTCCAGCAAAAGCTCAAATTAGTCCATATAAACATGATCAAGGGTTTCTCCAAAAGCATCTAGTTAAAGCAATCCTGTTCCACTGGCCTTTTAAAATTCTCCAACCCTGCATGTGCTCTAAGTTGGTAGTTGGAGATGATGACTCAGTGAACCCTCACTCACCTATGTTTCTCAGACTCTTCAAAATCCTTACCACACTCGTGTCGACACGACATGGGTGTGGGATCCACACTGGATTTGGTCTACTTACCTTGGGTTCTTTGACCAGATATATGATCGAGATGTATAGATTGATTGGGTATTTGGTTTGACTTTTGGGTTATGTCATATATATATATATATAATGATATGTTTTTCTTTATCATGAGATATATTTGATGTTTATAAAGAATTAAATTTTATTAGTTTTAGTTCAATAACTTTAATCAATCGAGATATATACTTTATATGTCGTAATACACATTTATTGGCAGTATCCCATCACCCGTATCTGCACTTGGATCCATACCCCTTAATCCTAAAATTTATGTGATGAAGAATCCGACCTTTAGATTTGCACTCGTATCGGATACCTGCACCCCAGACTGCCATCAAATCCTATAGAACGGTGGAGAACACGAAATACAATAAGATGCATGCAATGTTGGCTAAATCAAGGAAGTACATCAACAGTTCCTTCAGATGGTAAGAGTACTCTAGGAAGTTTAAACACAATTATAGAACAAAATGGACATATTTCTTTGAAGAAGGTTACGCAAAACGTGTTACCTAGCTTTAGTTGTTTTAGCAGCTCAGCTTTCTCTTGTCTCACTGTTTTACAACCTCAAATAATCACAAGAAGTAACCATCTACACAGTTTATCCAACTATTCTTTAGTAGGTATATCATTTTCTCGAGGAATTCATTTAAAAAGATCAACAGTAGTTACAGTTCAATGCAATAGATTTGAAACAGTAGAAGGACAAGAATACAAGGAAAATATGAAAGAGCTGATTCGATGGCAATCTTATAATGCCTTTGTAGTTAGAAGTAGTAGGAATAGTACCTATCAGTTTCCATACAAAAATAAAGCAAGAAACTGATAATACATGCACAACCTTTCATTTAAATCCAGTAAGGTAGAATTACCTTATCACGGGGTTGGGACTTCATCCAGCTACTGATATAGAGATCCGTCGTTCCTTGAGTCTCCTTTCTCATTGGGACAGGATACTTGGAATACAATAGCAAAGAAGAAATAAATACAAAAATGCTTGTAGTATCAAGATAGTAAAATGAATAAGCAGTTTTTAGGCAAAAAACTTAACTTGTAATTACATCCCAACAATTCAGTTAACTAAGCTTCTATTATCAAGATGGTAAAGTCAAGAACAATTTCTTCCCAAGTTAGTGTGGAGTAGCTTACAGCCTCAGCGGTATCAATAATATTAATTCCTTGATCAAATGCATAACTAAGTATTTCATGAGCCTCCTTTTCTGTATTCTGTTCTCCAAATGTCATCTGCATTTATGGAGGAGTTCACATTACAAAATCTTCAATTACTTCATAAATACCCAAATGAACAGAACGAATGACTACTAACTGGGTTCAAAATTTAATAATTGTATATATTTGAGCAAAAGCTACTGAATTTAGCGAACGAACTTACGGTTCCGATAGTAATTTCGCTGATATTAAGATCAGAGTCTCCGAGTTTTCTGTACTGCATTGCGTTCTTCTGAGCAAGTTTTGCAGTAACAACTCTGCTCTTCCTCCATGACGGCGACGATGGACGGAGTGTTCTCATGAAATTGCGGCAAGACGGAATGCCGGGGGTGAAAGTGCTGCAGGAAGCCATGGATTCTTCTACAAACTCTGCCTCAAAAAAAAAGAGTGGGATTTTCGATTTTGTGAAAGAGGTGATGACAACAAAATGGAGATGACACCATTCATTTCCAAGGTCATTTTAGTAAATTACTCAAAATAAATACTACATAAATTATAATAATAAAAAATTTAAAAGACAAACACGTATGCAATCCTTAAACTTGTTTCTAAATTCCATTTTAACACTCCAACTCAACCTTGTTCCATTTCAACACTTCAACTCCAATTTTTATGTTCCATTTTGACACTTCTTTCTAAAAAATCAACAAAGTGAGATATGTGTACTTCACATGTCATGATATGACATAAAAACCAATTAAAAACACATACACAACTCCTCTAACTTGCCCCCATTTTTCATTTTGTCATGCTAACTTAGTCTTGTTCCATTTTAATCCTTCAACTCTATTTTATATAGTATCATTTAAACACAAAATACTAAATTTATGATTTCTTTATTTTTATTTATGTTCTTTATTTTCACTTTTTCATTTTAAAAATCAACGTCATATCTTTTTTTAAATAATAATAATAATAATGGATGAACATCATTTTCTTAAAAAAATATTTTTTTAGAGTTCTGTACATTATTGTGTGAACGACAAAAGTGTATTGATTTTCTTTTTTAAACAATTAATTAAATTAAATAACACCACATATTCTTTTTTTCATATCTAGTTTATTTGAACTAATTCAAATATCAGCTTTCTAATTTTTCATTCAACTAAATACGAGTCAAAAAAACTCATGTTCATTGCTAATTAATAACACTACAAAAAAATGTTGAAACTCGATAGACTTTGTTGGGTTGTCATTGATTTTCTTAAGAAAGAAAATCACGCACTTTCGTCGGTTATTTTTCACGCAAAAATATAGAGAAACTCTTAAAAAGAAATTTTTACTTTTTTTTATAAAAAAAAAATCATTGATCATCCGTCAATTTAATTTTTTACAATAACTAACGGATGAACGCTGATTTTTAAAATGCAAAATTACAGTTGAATAACATATATAAAAATAAAGAATCATAAAATTTATATTTTGTGTTAAATGGTACATAAAAGAAATAGAATTGAAGGGTAATCTTTTATTATTTTTTAAAAAATACTTTTTTTGTCTTTCACTCTCTTAGAGAAAGTGTGATGCACACACTCTGCCACATCACTTAGAAGTGCCAAAATGGAACATAAAAATTGGAGTGGAAGAGTTAAAATGGAACAAGGTTGAGTTGGAGTACCAAAATGAAATTTAGGGACAAGTTTAAGGGTCTCCATATGTGTTTGCCCAATTTAAAAATATACACACCAATATATATAATGTTTTGCTCTCGCATAGCCATGTTTTTCGGCAATAATATTTATACACTTATCACAAATAAAAAATCTATATTTCTATTATATAGAAACATGAAGCCTAGGACAACTAAGGGAAAACCTGCAAATATACTCATTATTCAAGGGTAAAATGAATTAGAGCAAACAACAAACTTTTGTTTCTTTCCCATTTTAGAATGTTCTCTTCGTCTCACTTTTTCTCTTCTTCCTCACCAATCTCTCCAAACCCCAACTCCAATCATGGATTCAAACATCAACAAGAAGCCAATAACGATCAAGAACTTATATTAATTTCATTTCGCTTGATGATATTCCAATTACCAAGCTAGAAAAAAATCTCTTCCGCAGCCTAGACAACAAGATATGCCCAGAAACATCCATAAGACTCTTTATCTCTATTTTTCTCTCAACCTAACTCGACGCTTTCAAAAATGGTCTCTTGTTCTTCACTCTGAAGAACTATTTGATTCTCTTCATCTTCACAACGGGTTACATGTTAGGTCTGTTCAATTTTTATTTTTTTTGCCCAATTTTTTATTTTTATTTTTCATGAAAAATTAAAATTATAGTGCATCCTTTTGCTAATTTGTTGTTATTTGGGGAATTTGGTTAATGGATCTAGAGCTCAAAGAAAGGGTGTGATGGAGTTTACAATTCGTTTGAAAGTAGTTGCGTTGTGAGTTTGGATAATAGTTGCTAACTAAAGTGGTGATTTTTTTATTTTTATTTTTTGCAATAATGACATTCTGATGAAAACAATGCCACAAAAATAGGCAAAGTTGGAAAATTAAAGAGCATAAGATACATTTTTTGGATTAATCTCTACTTCATTTTGTTAATTCTTCTTTTTAATATAGTAGTTTACATATATTTCTATTTCTTCTGAGGATGCTCAACCAGCAATATACTGAAATTGAACCTGCTCATGTGTATGTTCCGCACTAAGACGAGCACAGCATCACAACTTATCCAAGTTAACAGTCAATTGCTACATTGACCTACCAGTCCACACCAAGAGATTAAGGTCAAAGGGCACAACCACTTGTTCCAACATGTAAATTGCTAGACACTTAATTGGTATGATCATTCTTCTAATTTTATTTTTCACTTGTAGCAAGATTTAATGGAGTATGCATATGTGGTTTTTCTGTTGAAAGATTTCTGACGTACACCAGGTGTTTGGAAAAATGTCTAAGCTAGAAAAAATCATACTTCGCTTACACTTTTAAATAAAATTTGGATTTCGTGAATTCCTTTTAAATCCCTTGAATATTTTGAATTGTACCATAACTTGGTATTATATTATTCCCTCATTAGTGAATGGTATCACCTCTCATGTTAACATTACATGTGTTGATCCCTTTGCTAATCCTCTGTTATTTTATTTCATCTGCTCATGTTAATTTCATTTCTTGTTTTAATGATTCAATTTTTAACATCTTGTTTGAGATGAAAAGTATTGAAATAACTAATATTTAAGTATAAATTTATATTTTGAATATAAAAATTGATCCGACTCTTACAATAAGTAGATGGTTATATATGTATGTATGTTTATCATACTTTATATTATTTTTGAACTACTCTGGTTCTAAAGAGGTAAATTTAAAATTTGTTTTCCTTGTGTATTACCAACTTATGATAATCTGTCTGCTTACATATAGTATTGTTCATTATGTAAAGGAAATTAACTTATTATGGTGATACCTATGTAAATATGATTATTTGACCAACACTTCTCTGTTCCATTTGATATATATATATAGCATATTGTCAGAGCCTGAAGGATTTGTACACTCATTTGACACCTATCCAATGGCTCCAGATTGTTCGACACCGTAATAGACCAACTGTTCAAGATCATATACTAAATATGACAAAGAAGAAATGCCTGTTGATTTATTTTTTCCTGTTCATTAGAGTTATTAGCAGTTTTTTTTTTTTACAATGCAACTCGAGGAATCTTAATCCTATGTTATGCATGAAGTGGGTAGAGCACCATGGAGATCGTGCTGGCTATGATGATACAACCATGGTGAGTGATATTGGGAGCATTGAAGGTAGAAGTTATCTCCTAATTGGTCATCAACTTTGCAATGACAACCCCTTATAGGTATGCCTCACAAATTCTCATTCATAACATTATTACGAATTCCTATCATTAAGCATTTCAAGTAATCTATTTTGTGGTTAATAACAGGTTAAATTGAACTGATTTTTTTATTAATTAAGCAGCAAGTTAGGCTGAAGTTGTTGCTCATAACCTCTCAACATGTTCCCAATTATTTTTTTATCAGGTTATCAGATTTTTGGAGAGTCTACGTAGCGTTAATTGTTTGAAAGGAATATTGTTTAATTTAATACCTCAAAGTTAGTTTTGTAAAAAGATGAATTGATAACTATTAAATCTTAGCCTTGCAGCTAGAGAAAGGCTTTGAGAATGATGAAATATGTTGATCGTTGTGTCTTTCCTATTGTTACATTTGCTGACACTCCAGTGATTTTTGTTGATTTAAGATCTGAAGAGATAGGTCAGGTGCGAGTCTTTACCTTGACTTTTAAATGTTGCGTTATTAGATTACATTTGGTCATGTAGAATCTATAATCACCCCCAATATTTTCATGTAGGGTGAGCCAATAGCCCCCAATTTAAGGGCAATGTTTGAGCTGAGAGTTCCAATCATAAAAATTGTAACTAATGAAGGTGGTTCAGGCAAAACACTTGCCATTAGATGTGCAAACAAGTGGTTAATATTGGAAAACTCAGCATTTTATGTTGCTAGGTAAGTCTGGTTCATTTGTACTTCTTCCATAAATTTATTTGCTACTTATCAGGCATGTGAAGAATAAGAAGTTCAATTTTCAGCATATTCATTGCAATTGTTATCCATTTATCCATTAGTGCCACCTCTATTTGTTTATGAGTTAACGGTCATTAGGCAATTGATTAGTAGTAAGATTAATTCATAAATCATGATTGTCTGTAGCCTAAATAGCACACCCCATTATGAAAAACTTGAGGTTCTATTGGTCTGCATACCTAATTTGTGTCTAATTAAGCAGGTTTCTTGGTGTAATATCTTACTGGTTGATTTTGCCAAAAAAGAAAAAAGAAAGTGGAAGATCACTCCTTTGTATTTGTGAATTAATTTCAATTTCACATTTTTATTTGAATTTTATATGTCAATATACATTTAAGGTGTGATAGGAACTGATATAAACTTGAAGGAGACAAGTGATGAACCATGTAGGCATTGAAGCAGTTGCCAGTGATTTCAATGGTAACCGTGCTCTCTCAAGTTTGGATGTAGAAGGTTGCAGTGAAGAAAGATCGCTTAGGTTGGGTAGCTTGCCAAAATTACTTCAACAAACAAAAGGCGATATCTTGATAAAGAGCCTAACAATCGTATAGGTGGATGTTTCTTGGAAGGTAGTTCATATTGTGGAATAACTTTTCTAAGAAATTATATCTGGATCTTTTTCCAATGTATAATGGCAATTCATGATTTTCTCGGTACCTATATGATTCTGATAGACTTTCTTAAAACTATCATTTCAACAGTGGAATATGTGCAGGATGAATCACGTGGTACGATTTTTAATGTTGATAAAAGCACGAGTGAGAAATCAACATCATACTCATCTGCTACTCCAGAAAATCATGGTTTGTTCTTATTATCTGCATCATTCTTTAACACCAAACAATTCAATATTGTATGATTTACTTACGTAGCTTGTTTTTATTTATTTTAGACATCTTAGATTGACCATTCTCAAATTGCCACTTTAGCCACTGAGGGAATGGTAATGATGGCCTCTTCTTTAATTGATTCCTACATATGCTTGTTTTCATCAACTGTTTTGTGTCAATTTGGTTGCAACATGTGATACTAAAAGGAACTCAATGTGTGATCAATTAATTTTGGACATTGTTTGCATTAATTTTCGGCATCTCCATATAGTTGTTGCTTGTCAGCATTGGCTTATCAAAGAAAAAAATAATAATAAGGAATTGATAATTGGTTTATTCTTAAATGATGAAAGGATCCTATATTGGTTTGAGAAAGAATCAAATTTTCAATGTATCCTTAGATTGTAGTGATGATTTTTGGTCTTTATTGACTTTGTGCCCTCCTCGAGTCCCCTCTAAAGGCGTATAACTTGACTATCAGGTATAGTATTCATAAGTAGATTTTTTTTCACTGCTTCTTAATTTAAGTTAATAAGTTGCCTTGCTTTCTGTCTCTCTCTCACACGCACACACAAATGTTCTCTTTCTACCATAGTATTTTTAAAATGTCCCTTTAAATTTTTATCAGTTTAATGCTTTCTATTTCAAAATGTTTAATCTCTTATTCTCTTTTTGGAATAGGGCAAGCAGCTATTTGAAAAATTCAAAGCAACGAAATATTTCTGGTAATGGACAATATTTGCAATACCGCTATATGATTTATGTGTTCATGGTGCAAAGTACGAACAGTGATAGAAATACATCTTGTTGATCATGTATCATAGGATGGTGGATAGGAACTAATGAGCCAATAAAACATAAGCTTGGGTTTGATTTTGCAAGTATATTAAAGGAAGTATTAGAAAAGTAACTATTTCAGTGATAGATAATTGTGATATAATATTATTTTATGTTTGTCATCTTCAACATGAATACAATTGTGCAGCCGTACTTGTGAGCTTATGATTATTCTTAAAAATTTATGGTTGTTTAGAGTCTACACATGTGAACGCAAGATTAGACACAAATAAATGACATCAAAATTCACGTTGTTATGCACGGGCAATACTTATCTAGTACATATATATGAAAATTGAGTGTAGGAGAAAGGGAAATGCAATCAAACTCCAACTAACTGAACTATCAAAATTCTTCTTATAAATAAGGGTTAACTTACAAAAATTTCTCTAGTTTAAGAGCTAATAAACTTAGATACACACAAGTTTGAAATATTATGAATCTTATCAGATTTTGGTGTGTCCAAATACATCTAGATATATATATTTCGGGATATATGAGGTCAAAATTAGGTGTAATGTGTTCTAGATACACTGTATCCAATTGAATTCACATTATGATGGATACATACAAATCTCACTCGTCTCCCTTTCATTTCCCTCACCACTCTCATATATCTCTCATGTATTCGGTATTCTAGATATATGCGAATCATATTTGATACATGTATATACCGTGTATTGAATGTGATTCACATTTAGTTGATATACATGGACAACATGTAATTACATCAGATATATATATATATATATATATATAATGTGTATCTAGTGTGTTTCACATGTATATATGCTTGCATAATTAGATAGTGTCTCCTATAAATAATACTAGAAAGCACGGGCCCAATAATATTATGTAAGATTCTTTTTTTTTTTGGTTAAATTTGTTTTTACGTGAAATTGGAGAATTTTTTTTTGATGAATCTATCGGTGTGTTCTGTAAAATGTTAATTTTCTATATTTTATGAGCTAAAATTTTGCAGCATAGCTCCTCTAGAAAATAAGTTTTTTTTTTCTTTTGAAATGAGGAAATGATTTCTATAATAAATATCATAACTTGATATCAATTAAAAGTTGGATTACAAGTATGTAGCGTAAGATAACCTTGAATATTAATCGTTTGTTGATATTTTAAGGAACTAAGTTTTACAAGATAGTTATGTACACTTATTTTACATAATAACAAAATGTGATGCATTGTATAGAAAGTTAGTTGAGATGCAAATTGAGTTGTTTTGATCTTTGATCAAAAGATTAAGACCTGATACATATGTGAGAAGAAGAAAAAATATTATTCATAAATTACAAGATTGGAAAGAATCAAATCACAGTTACTTGAAATAGGAGGTATGTACATACATGAAAGCAAGTGTACAATTACTTCAATATAATGACTTAAGAACCAAGTGCAAGGCTGATAAGGCTAGGTAGATAGCTATTGTTTTCGAGGTCGGCCAAAGTAGACACAAATTCATAAACACAAATACAAGTAAAGTTGTCGATCGAGTTTATTCTTTAAGTTCACAAAGAAAACACAAGCACAAATCTTCTTGTGGTTCATCTAGGAAAATGACCGCAGACTGGCACTACTTTGACTTGAAGTTCCTTCATCATTCAACTCTTTATTGGTAAACTAAGAAGTGATTGACTGTACAAAGAACTATCTCCAATGCATCGATTAATAAATGAAAAGGACAAACGTAGTTGTTTTACAAAATTCAAGTAGCTCATATATCATAATACTCTGAAAAACTATATGAGCTCTAAGGCAGTATATTGATCACAATAATCAAACTACTTTCACTGCTAGTAATATAAGTAAATGCAACAAATTATCAACCATGCACAACTACACAAAGGCCAAGATATATATATAAATATGGTCCCAGCAAAATCTATAAAATGGAAGATTTTTTGTACTATAATGGAATAGTCTAGTTTTGTGACTTCAATTGTGGCTTAAGATTTATAGTCTTTTATCATAGTTTTGTGCTCTTTTAACCCAAGGCCTTTTGAGGAATAGATTATAATGCCCAAAGTAAAGACACCCTGCACATACCGAGAATCACTTCAAATGATACATTCAAGAGTTCAAAAAAAAAACTTGCATTGAACCTCTATTGAACTATGTCATGAAAGTGTTAAACACTTTAGCCTGTTTTACCTCTTCTCAAATCTAACTTGAACAACGGAAAAAATTGTGTGGGACATCCCAAGAGCTTAGAATCAATAAGTTTAAAGGAATGATATTGCTACTTATACGCAAGTACACCAATGATAGGCTTATTGTATTGATTAGACTAACTAATAGTATATATGCAATCACTTACGGTGCTGACTTGTTTTTATTAAAAATCAACGGCAACATCGAAGACAAATTTGAGGTGAAACAGAGAAGCAAAGAGCATCTCAAATTTCTGAATTCAACAAAGACAAAATTCTTATAGTCCAACCAGTAACCCTACAGATCTAAAACAGAAGAATTGAATTGGGTCTTGATTTTCATTAAAATTTATGTTAGATGGAGAGAAATTTCAAAACCACAACCCAAAAATATAACCAAAAAGACAGAAAAAGATAACAAAAAACTGCACATTTCTTAATAACACAATATAATCATTTACCTATACAACAACAACACATGCAGGAAAACCAGACAGCAAAAACTTGATTTGTTTGCTTTGCAAAATAAAGAGGAAGAGAGACAGAGCATCAACTCTCATAGAATGTCCTAAATGCACATCAGTTTGGCAGCATTGCTACGTGTCTCATCCAAAGTAGTATTAAGACACGTATACAACCTTTATTAATGAGTTTGGTAGTGTAAATGACCAAAAGACCCTTATTCTTTTATAAAGATGGCAAAAATCAGTCATCTTGTTGTCTCTTCTATATAAGTATAAGTAAAAGTAAAGTATAATAAAAAGAAATAATTTAAATTAATTTGACGTTTTTTTTAATAAATTATTTATTAGGAGTTTATTTTAATTTTTTTTTTATTAATTATAGTTTAAAAATATAAATATGACTATTAATAATCTTATATAGTTATTTAATGATATATATAATATTAAAAAATAATTTGTTTTGAATATAAATGATAAATAATAAAATTTTATTAAATTATTTAACTATATTAAATTGTTTTCAATTTAATATGTAGAGAATAAAAATGGAAATATATAGGAACTGAATAAAGTTATCATTGTAAAATTAAATGGACCCCACTATACTCAATGATAGAAGGCATAATATGTAATTTAGTAGAAAAGTGTAGGGTTTTTTCTAAAGATGTTAAGAAGGTCCAAATAATAAGGCTCATAGTACAATTTTTTCTATGCAATACTTATCACTTTGAGAAGTTGGAATGACAAAAATGTCCCCACTTGCCAATTGAATGACCAATAAGCAGCCTTTGAAACTCTCTCTTCTAATTTATAAAATAATAATAATAAATATAAATATCAATCTTGTATAAAAATATATAATTACGTATACAAAATTATACAATATTATTCTATAAAAACTGAATTTCATCCCCTACAAACTTCAACTCACGAAAACAATATCAACAATAAACTTAAATCTTCTTCAAATAACTTCAAATTTTAACTACAAATTAAAAAAATGACATTCCAAACAAACACAATCATTAACTTGTCAAAAAAAAAAATTCAACAAATCAACTTTCAAAAACTCCAAAAATGGAGATTAGATTTTTACTTTAGTTCACTCATTAATGTTTAAATTTTGATGATAAACATGAATATTAGTCTCAATCAATTTCTAAGTATCAAAAAATTGAAAATCATAATCATAAACTAAAAAGTTTTAAAACATTATTTTTGCTAAGCATTTCAAAATATATAAACATGAATAAGAGTCTGTTTGGCATTACTACTAAAAACTGCTTATTGTTAGA